CTAGTATCCATTCTTTCTGGAGGACTTTCAAAGTTGATCAAAGTATCTTAGTTTTGATGACTTTGAAATGAAGAGTTTCAAGGGGGCATGTATCTATAGCTTTCAAACATCAATTTTTCAATGCCGACTTGATCAATTAGTTTTTGTACATTTAGGATAACATTTTTGGTTGTGTATATCCAAATCAGAGAACTATTCGCAACGAAAATTAACCCTAGTAAATTTGGAGGTTCATACAAATTAAGGTCTCCTTCATTCGGGTGGAGGTTTACGTCCAGATAGCAGCAAAGTAGGATTTTTGGCTAATCATTTCACATGAATCCCGATGTTATACAAAGAGAGAGACGTAAAGAAAATGCAAAGTGACACCAATCTACCTAATTAAAGATTAGTCCCTATTGCCTTTACAAGTTTTTAGCTATTTTGTTTTTAATTTTTTTCGTGCTTTCAAAAGGTTATGATTTTGATTTTACTTGTTGCATCAAAATCAACTAAAAATATATAAGTTATGTGAGCGAGTCTCTTGCATACGTTTAATCAAGTCCGAACAATATAAATGCAAATGAACATAAATTTAGAAACATAAATAAAACCACTTTCGTACTGAAGGTGAAATTTTACTTAGGGTTTTTTTATTAACACCACACATATTGTTAACCCACATAAAAGTTTATTGTTAAGTGGCTTATATATATGCCTAACATAAAATGACCATTTAGGCCTAATAAAATTTTAAAGAGGGAAATTATATTTTAAATACACCCCAAGTTAATTTAGATGTGTATTCTAAGATTGTATTTCTTCAAGATCTCAAAGTCACCCACATCCTTCACTGTATAACAAAACCCTAATCACTAGATGCACAAAATGTTGATGGAAAAATATTATTTTTCATACTCGTTCTGCAGATCTTCAATTTTCTTGATTCTTTGATAAGAGAAAGTTTGGAATTGGAAAAAGGAAAAGGAAACTGGTTAGTTTAACGCCAGCAATACATTATTTACTTTGCAGGTGCAACCTAGAAGAACAAACTGATATAACACCGAATAGTTGTGCATGTGAATTCATATATATTCGGACAGAGAAGGAACAATACAATGTTATCAAAGAAAAGATTGGCGGAAGGTATGGCTATTTAACCCCACCGAATGACAATGTTACATATTGAATAGAGAATAGGGGAAATCTTTTGTTTCAAACTTGATTTCAGTTCCTTTGCTTGTTCATCGTTTTTTGTTCGTTGTGCAGAAAACGAGTTTGTAGAACTTACGAAGAGTTTGATGTGGGGTTTGAGTAAAGCATGTGGGAGTGGGAGGGTAGCATTGGAAAACACGTAGGGTGTATTAAAATCAATTTTGATTTAAAAAGTACATGTAAGATGTATTAAATATGTAAGGTATAATCAATAAAACATGAAGTGTGAATAAAACAACCCTTTTACTTAATATTCGGAGCTCAAAATTTGGCAACGGGTGATATTTAGGCCTATATCGACAAGGAGCTGTGGGTGCACCTACTTTTTCACTTTCATAACCCTTGTGGGTCTCTAACATCTAGAGGGGGCGCGGTCATGTTCAAGCATACATCTGGGCCAAATATAAAACAACATAGTCTAGTCCAATTTTAAGTTTTCAAAGCATCAATATAAATATATATAAGTATAGTAGTAGCACTCAAGTGCTAATCGGTTAGTAAGTTTATATGTTGCGAAACACTTGTTTGAGCCTTTTTAAAATAATCCTTTCAAAAAATTAGTCAAATTAAACGCCATTTAGTCATGTAACTATAATCAAACAAATCGATCAATACAATATTTACTATAACTAATGAAAAATTTCACAAGAACTATTAAATTATGAAATGATTGCCCGCTGAACTAATTTTTTGTAGGACGATCTTTAAAATAAACAGTTAGGGCTTGATTGTCTATCTATGAGTGCAGTTGTGCTGTGATTATCATTTATTTACCTTCGTAATTGGTACTTAAGCCCAGTTTGGTATTGTTTTTTTTTTTTTTTTTCCACCAAAAATTGCTTCGCTTTAAAGTTACACAGTAAAAAAAATGTTTGGTAAAAATAAAATATACTGCTTATTTTAAAAGCAATGGTCTTTAGACAACAGGTTTTAAAAGCAATCTGTAGGTTGCTTTTAAAAGCGACTTTAATAAAAAACAGAGTTGTTCCCTAAGAATATTTTTAATTCCTATAATAAGCTCATTAATTTTCAACCATGATATTATTTATCCTTCTAGACACTGTTTTTACATTGTTTTTCATACTCACAACACTTTTAACAATAGAATTTATCAAACGCTCATCTACTTTATTTTGCAGCTGATTATTCTTAAAGCACGGCAGAAGGAATTTATTAAAAAAGTACAGCAACCCTGAACTAGCCTTTAGTAACATCCAATAATCATGTTAGCATAATATTGTAGAATGTCTTTTTATTACATTCACATGTCCAAAATTAATAGACCCAAAACCTAAGAAAAAAGACAATCACATATACTCCAATTTTATGAGTGTCTATTATATAATTATACGGGATTTTTTTTTGTTTTATTTATTTATTTTTTTGTTTACTTTAATCCTTGAAAAAGATTGAAATTTAATAAAAATCTGGTTACATATTGATTATAGTTCCGGCCCGGGCCCCCATCGCATTCCGGGTTCGACTCCACCAACTTAAGAAAATTGACCAATGAAGAGATAACAAAGTCGTTTGATAACTTTTTTCATCTTAATTTACGTTTATGAACATAATATCCTAATATAAAAATAAACGAAAACAAAAAGTTAAAACACAATTCCGAAGCATATATAGTTTAATCTTCTTCTATAACATGAGTAAATTTGAGATCAATAGAGTCAAAAAAACGTTTGGTCAAGTTTATTTGTAAATCTAAGCCACGAGAACCTTGACTTTTTTTTCAAACCCCATTTCCTCGAACACTCGCAAAATGTAAAAGAGAAAACGACCTCTTTCTTCCCAAATAAACTTTGGGCTCCAAGCAAATGTCATTAGACTTTTGATTTCTTTAAACCCTAATCCGATGACTACGATACAAAATATTTAAAAACTTTAGTAACGCCTTTGAATGCACAAATACATGGACAATCCAACGGTGTTCCTTGAAGTGGTTAGAAGGAAAAACATACTATCCATTAGACCTGGCAATTCTTAACACAACCCGATAATTCGACACGACACGACACGAAATTAACAGGTATTTGGGTCGACACGATAAGGAATCGGGTCATTATCAGGTAACCCGATAAGCACTTGTTAAGATAACGGGTTAATTCGGGTATACACGTGGGTAACACGTTACATGATAAGCAAAATATTAATTTAAATATTTTATAACCCTAAAAAAATACTATAATTATTATCTCTACTAATTAATAAAACACTCATTGTTAACCAAAACTCTATAAAATTACCAGTTTAATCCTCTAATTAAAATAGAACATGAATAAGAAATATGGGGTAGAAATGTAATTTCACACAACCAAAATTTTCTTTTTCTTTTTATTTTAAAAAACCTCTCCTATATGTAATCCTAACATATCTCTAATTATAAAAAAAATAAAATAAAATAAAATAAAATAAAAATAAATAAAAAATAAAAACTTCCCATTCCCACGTTCTCTATCACTCCATTCCTCTCTCCTTCTATTTCATAAAAAAAAAAAAAAAAAATTCTCACACACTTTGTGTGTGCCCATATACTAGTATACATTAATTTAACAATTTTATACCCCTAAAAACTATAATTATATGTGTGTGTGTGTGTGTGTGTGTATATATAATTAAATTTAAAAAAATTGTTGACCATTGGATCGGCTAAGATTTAATCTCAGCTGTCCATTGTGCATTAGGTTGGAGGCTAATATATTTTTATATGGTATAGTACTATTGTTTTATTTCTTTTCATAATTATTTTGGTAAACTTCTCATAATTTGAATGGTTTTTAATGTTTGGTTTTTCTATACTTAGTTTATGCAGAAGAGAGTTTTGACATGGAAAACTTTACTGAAAACATAATCAACATAACTCTTGAAGGCAATAGATCAAATCAAAGTTCCAATACAATTTCCTCATGATGATTGATGAAAATTGAGGATTTTGTAAAAGGAATAACATGCAAGCTTTGAGTTCCATTGGCAAGGTTTAAACTTTTTAGAAAGGCTTCACAACCTTGAAAACAAAAACTCTTTCATTTTGCATATCCTTGCACATTTAATATTTTGTAATAGACTAGTAGTGTATGAATTTTTTTTTATTAGGCTCTTATTTTCGAGTGTAGATGTAGTACTTACACGAAAAATATGTTTCAATGTTTTGAAGTAATATTTATGTAGCAATGTGTGTTATGTGCAAATTTAAGGAAAAAAAATAAAATTTTCTTAACAAGTCTGGTCGTTTTCCCTGTGGGGTAAAGTGTTCCGACTTGTTAAGGACCTGTTAAAATAACGGATGTGATACGACACGATCTATTAAAATAATAAGTGTTACACGAAAACGATATGAACATGACAAATACGATTTGTTTGCCATACCTACCATCCATCCACAATATGAACTATCTCCAACGGCCATTCAAATACCACTGGATTTATCTGTCAAAAGAATCAGCATGCTGACACGTGGACAAAATCCTAAGCGACGAAGAACAGAAGCTGATGTCACTACATATTTCTCTCTGACTTGGCCGCCATGCTTCAATTGACCCATGTGCTCAAATTCATCCCAACTTATGTGGCATCCCACAATAATACAATAATACAATAATACAATAATACAAAAAACTAATAAAATATAGCCACCACATCTATTTTAATATGTATCTATCTGGATGATTTTACCATTTCACCCTCGTAATTTTACCCCGTCCTTATTGTCATTTTAACCTGGGACCCTATTGGCCTCTATTGGTCCACATTGGTCCTCTGGGACCCATTGGAATTGGGTATATATAATGGAAGAGGATGCAAATCTTTAGCAAACCAATATGCACATACACACACAGAGAGTGATCCAAGCAGGAAACAAAGACACCACAACTCTTCAAATGAATTACTCGATTTTTGATCCCCCAAACTCCAATTTGTCACCAGAATCTTCATTTGGATCATCATTTTCTTGGGATGATGGTCTTAAATTTGGCAACAATTCATTACCTTTCAATGAAAATGATTCAGAAGAAATGCTTCTCTATGGTCTAATTTCGGAGGCCACTCAAGAAATAACGTCAAGTGTTTCTGTTTCTGCAAACCCAATTAAGGAAGAGGAGGTGAGCTCCGCATTCGAAGAAGAAAACCTGAAAGAGGAAAAGTCCTATAGAGGAGTTCGGAGGCGGCCGTGGGGCAAGTTTGCTGCAGAAATAAGAGACTCCACTAGAAATGGCATAAGGGTGTGGCTAGGCACATTTGACAGTGCCGAAGCTGCAGCTCTTGCCTACGATCAAGCTGCCTTTTCCATGAGAGGCTCTACGGCAATTCTAAATTTCCCAGTAGAGAGAGTCCGCGAATCGCTTAGGGAGATCAATTATGGTACCTCGGATTTTGGAGGGTGTTCGCCGGTGATGGCGCTTAAGCGAAAGCACTCGATGAGAAGGAAAACTGGGTTCAAGAAAAGTAAAGTTGACAGAGATGTGAGGATAGAGAATGTGGTGGTGTTTGAAGATCTGGGAGTAGATTACTTGGAAGAATTGTTAAATTCAACCGAGAATACAAGTACCAGTGCCACTCCTAATTGGTGAACCAAAACAGCAAATTCATCTTTATTGAATTCTTCTTTTGTCTGTTTGTTCTTTTTTCTGTAATCAATCTCTTTGTAATTGTATGAACCGTGGCTCCAATCTTTTGTTTTTGCCGTGAAGTTCGTCGAAAGATAAAGGTCTTACGTATTAATGTGTCCTTGTTTAATCTGTGGGGCTCAAATCAATTAGTTGAACTTGAGGTGACTGTTGCTTTGAAATTTGATTTGGTCAACTAGTAGGGCTAAGTGACTCATAAAATGACATTGGCTCATGCACGCCTGCAGCACTACTCGAGTGACATGCATGGATGGGATTAATTGAAGCATCAAAGTTAAATCATTCTAATACTATATTTTTCAATCATCAAATCTTCTGACGATTTTATTTCAGTTATACACAAAAATTCCTAATGCACATTCCTTCAACAACCATCTTTTGTATTGGGCTAGTGTTGCATGCTCAAGAGATTCTTATATCTTTGTACTTGGGCGTGGCGGCCCAATGCATTGCTTCAAGCATGTCCAAGAAGTTTACTTTCCTCAGCAAGCTAGAAACTGATATTTGCTTTACAAAATGCAATATATAGGTGTGTGTGTGTGTGTGTGTGTGTGTGTGTGTGTGTGTATAGGAGGCTTTTAAGGAGAAGGACTTCTAATTTTCTTTTTTATTTTTATAAAAATTGGACTTAATTGTGGGGCCCACAGCACATCAAACTTTAACGATCCGAATCGTTTATTTTTCAAGTTGCACCTCATAGATTATCCTTACAAAACATTAGCGAAATCGGAACTATTTGAGACATTTACTTGAGTTCAAATAAATTGACGAACACTTGTTCCAAGAATAACTTTGAAAATTTCATTGTGATAATTAAATAGTAAATGATTTCGAATTGAATTGAATTTTTACAAGAATGATATATTGAATCAAGACTTAAAAAGTAGATAATTCAGATCGTTGAAGTTCGATGTGGAGTAAATCCCACAACCTAACCTGATCCCCCAATAAAATTGCGTATATATATATATATATTTTTTTTTTTTTTCATTATTATCTTCCAATAGCGAAGGGTGCGGGATGCTGAAATATCAAGCATATATACATAAAAAAAATATACAGCCAGGACCAGCAAAGAGCTGCAACTTGCTGAATTTGTCATCAATCAAAATCTCAATTAAAGTTTTCTTGGTATTTCATATCATGTTATGATTAAGGATTCAGGACTCATAAGTGCGGGAACATGTGTAATTTAATCATGCAATAAGGTCGAGGAATATGCAGATCAATATCAACTAAGGTAATACTAATTTTGATGAAAAGAAAGCTATTACTAATAAATAGGAAAATTTAAATAGAAATTAGTAGTTATGTGGAGAAGGGGAAAAGAGTAAGGCATGCACTGACCCAGCTGAACCACTTTGAACACTGTTTTGGTCGAATTTCAAAGAAGAGAACCTTCTCAAGGGCAACTCAGTCTTTAACAATTTGGATTTGGCTACGTACGACTTTCTAATTCATGCTGTTACAATAATAATAACATACAGATAGTCTAAATATATATATTATCTTCACGTCGGTCCAATTTGGTTGTATTAAACTATGATAAAATTGTGATCCTCCTCCCTCCTCCTTCCTTCCTCCACCTCTTTTTGTTTATTTTTCTTAGACCGTTTTCTTTCTAGTTTTTAATATCATTAATGGGTTAATTGAGCAGGGTATAACTCTATTTCTAACAGCGGCGGACGTAGAAGATACCTTAAATTTGAATATCGTATATATGTATAAAAGAAGAATTATGTTAGCTTATAGCATCGTATTTTGCGGCCGTTTAAATGTTAGTAATTTATGAGCCGTTAATATATATATATATATATATATACACACATATATGAAATACAATCATATTATCGTTAGTCATTGCCAAATGACACCACATAATTGCATGAATAAGTTGGTTGTGCAATAGTCATAACTAAGGATCTAAAAGACATTAGGCACTAGTCGGGTGGCGGGCTAGAACCTAGCACCTATGTATTAACAATACTAATCTTAATGAATACTTAGCTTAAGAATTGAGATTCAGAGAAAGAAATGAAAGCAATGAGAGAGAAAGAGAATGAAGAAGAAAGAATTTGAGCTTCAATTGATAAGTGAGACAGAATACATTCTCTGCTTTATAAGCAGTAGCCGTTACAATAATTCTAAGAAACTAATAGATCTTAACAAACTAACAGATTCCTAACAAAGCTCCAACCAATCTAACTACTCTATGATGGCATGGACACTAACCAATACAATTGTGACACTTGTATATTCTATTCCTTCATTTATCATCCCCCCTCAATCTCAGTTGGGGTAACCAAACCTGAGATTATAGCAGTGTTTGACAAATGTTGGTCCATGAATGTTGGTCCATGTAATCCTTTAGTGAGAATGTTTGATGTTTGCTCTTCTGTTGGAATGTATTGTACCACTAAGTTTTCCTTTGCACTTTCTCTCAAATGAAGTGAAAATCTATGTCCAAATGTTTAATTCTAATGTGAAACACTAGATTGGAACATAAAACCAAAGCATAAAGGTTATCACAATGTAACAAAGGTGTTTCAGCAATGAATTGATGTAGATCATTTAACAAAAGCCTAATCCATACCATGTCTACAGCACATCGTGCTAAAACCTTGTATTCTACCTCTGTAGAACTTCTGGATATTCATGCTTTCTTCTTTGATTGCCATGATATTGGATCATTTCCCATATAAACCACAAATCCAGTAACTGACCTCCTTGTGTTGGGATTAGTTGCCCAATTAGAATCTGAGAAGGCAGTAATTAAGTAATTTGATCATGATGAGTATGTTAGACCACAATATATGGTACCTGGTACATATCTCAATATTCTTTTGACAAGAGTAAAGTGTAAATATGTGGGATTGGTCATATATTGACATGCTACATTTACAGCATATTATAGATTAGGTCTAGTGAATGAGATATTAAAGTGCACCAACTAAACTTCTATATTTAGTAAGATCATGTAATAGTGTACCCCCATATGCTATTAGTTGAGTATATGGCTTACATGGAGTTATAGTTAGTTTGCAAGTATCCATCCCAGCTTTGTGTATCTAGTCTTTTGCATACTTGGATTGATTAATGAAGATATCACATTGTGTTTATACTGTATCTACAATCCCAGAAAATATGACAACTTTCCCATGTCTTTTAACTCAAACACTTCACTGAGTACCTGAATAATAGCTTGAACTTTGACAAAAATAAACTCTATTAATATAATATCATCTACATATAGTGACATTAGAGTAATAACATCCACTCCATCATGCTTGACAAATAAGCTAGTATCAGAACATGACATTTGAAATCCCATTGCAAGAAAAATACCCTATGAACTTTGCATTGCAGGCACTTGGTGCCTATTTCAAACCATACATCGACTTCACTAGTTTATAGACATAATTTGGGTGTGTAGAGTCCACAAAACCCTGAGGTTGCTTCATGTATAACTCTTCTTCCAATTCTCCATGCAAGAAATGCATTCTTGATATCAACTTGTCTCAATTCCCACTTGTGATGAGCTGTAAGTGAAATGATTAGCCTGACAATTGTATGCCTTACAACTGGAGTAAATGTTTCAAAATAGTCTAAGCCAAGTTCTTGAGTGTACCCTTGAGCCACTAAACGAGCCTTATATCTTGAAATTGATCCATCATGGTTCTTCATCACCTTATATACCCATTTACTATAATGGCCCTATAAGTTGGTGGATGAACCAGAATCTATGTACCTTGGCTTTTCAATGCATAAACCTCTTCTTGTATTGCATTTTGCCAATTAGTACTTGTTGTTGTACTTCTAAAAGATTATGGTTCAGTTATATAAATTCTATGTGCAAGAAAAGAGAAACCACTATAACTGGAATCTTGATCATCAAGTTTCAATGTTTCCAATTTGGCAATGTTGCTAGAAAATTTGCATAATTTCTTCTTGAGAGAGCAACTGCTTATAACTTGGTTTGCTTTTTCTATCCTGGCATATCATTGTGTGTTTGAGATTGAGGTATCTAATTGTGTAGGATCTAGGATAGGTAACATTGAAGCTGTATTTGGAGGAGAGTGAGGTGAGTCAGTTATTTTAGATGCTTGTGCATCAACGGAACAAGTTGTTATGACAATTTTATATTAGAAACATTTGAAGAAATTAAAGAAGTAAAATCCATGTTGTCATAATTTATGTTCATCGTTTAAGATCCTAAAGTCCTAGACAATGTCTGTAGGAATAGTCACTATTACTGTAGAATTTGATGAACTAGAGGCCTGAGTATCAATTGACAATTGATTCCTTGATGTATAAGTAACAATCTTGTATGGGAAAACAGTTTCATCATGTATTACATGTCTATAAATAATGAACTTTTTCTAGATTGTATAGGAAAACAAATCACTCCCTAATACCCCACTACACATCCAACAAAAATACACAAAGATGTTCTTGGCTGCAGTATATTCTCATTATAAGGCCTAATATATGGATATACAGTTGTGGCAAACACTTTAAACCTTGCAATGGTGGATTATATCCAAATAATAGCTGATATGATGATTGCATACTCAAAACCTTACATGGCATTCTATTTATAAGAAAAACAGAATGAGTAAATGTATGGAACTATAACTTCTGAGGTAATTGTATAGTAGTGAGCAATGTTATTGTCCATTATGTGTTTGTGTTTCCTCTCAACAGTTCCATTTTGCTGAGGGGTATATAGACAAGAAAATATATGAACAATACCTTTATCATTTAAAAATTCATCAAATCTATTTCTTATATACTCTTCACCACCATCTATTTGCAAACATTTAATACTATAACCAAACTGATTATTAATAAGACTATAGAACTTCTGAAAAACATCAAACACTTCTGATTTATTGATCAAAGGGAAAATCCATACATGTCTTGTGAATTCATCAACAAAACTCACATAATACTTGAACCCTCTATGGATTTTGTAGGTGAAGGACCCAAATATCTGAATGTACTTTTTGAAACGGAAAAATTACAACTTTTTCCTATCTACAAATTGTAACCCAGACATCATGCGAGCAATACAAAATGAACACAAGTGTTGTTTATCATAAATGTG